CCTGGATTTTAGGGTGAGGATCAGGTTAAGCCTACTGGCTGTGGCATCATCAGGCTTATCCTTTCAATGTGCTTTCATATCTATAATTTCATTTAATCTTTACCACATCCCAGAGAGGTGATGAGGAACCAGTCATCATGATCATCTGTTAGATGGGAAAATTGCACCTGTCTCATAGGTGTTTTCTTTACATTTTTATTTTGGCAAAATGCACATAACACAAAATTTACTATCTTAACCATTTTTAAGTGTACATTTTAGTGGAATTAAATTCATTCATAATGCTGTGCTATCATTACCACCATCCATCTCTAAAACTCTTTTCATCTTGTAAAACTGAAACTCTGTACCTATTAAACAATAACTCCCCCATTTCCTCTCTCTCCCTCGTTCCCTGGCAACCACCATTCTACTTTCTGTCTCTATGATTTTGACTACTCTAAGTACTTCATATAAGTGGAATTACACAATATTGTCCTTTTTATAACTTGTTATTTCACTTAGCATAATGTCCTCAAGTTTTATCTATGTTGTATCATGTCATAATTTTCTTCCTTTTTAAGACTAAATAATATTCCATCATATGTATATATCACATTTTGTTTATCCATTCATTTGTCAGTGAACATTGGGTTGCTTCCATGTTTTAGCTATTAAGAATAATGCTGCTATGATCAGGGATGTACAGATATCTCTTTGAGACCCTGCTTTAAATTCTTTTGAGTATATGTCCAGAAGTGAAATTTCTAGATCATATGGTAATTCTATTTTAAATTTCTTGAGGAATTTCCACACTGTTTTCCATAGCAGCTGTATCATTTTACATTCCCGCCAACAGTGTGCAAGGTTCCAATTTCTCCACATTCTCAATAACACTTGTTATTTTCTGGTTTTTTTTTTTTTTCCTTTGGATAGTAGCCATCCTAATGGGAATGAGGTGATACTTCACTGTAGTTCTGATTTGCACTTCTCTAATGACTAGTGATGTTGAGCATCGTTCTTTGTGCTTACTGGGCCATTTGTGTATTTTCTTTGGAGAAATGTCTATTCCAATCCTTTCCCCATTTTTGAATTGGGTTATTACCTCAATGAATCACTAAAGTACTACATTTCAAAGTGTTTGTAAGCCAGAGAGTGCCCCAATCAGTATAAGGTACTATCATCATTCCCATTTAACAGATGAAGAGTGTGAGGTTCTGAGAGGTTCACCTAAATTGCCCAAGGTCACATGACTAGTAAATGGCAGAGACCCACTTACTAGTGGGTCTTACCTAGACTCCCATCCTGTCAGCCCCCATACCTTGTAGCTTCAAATTCCTCTTCTTTCTCATGAATTCGCCGGTCAATGTCAGCTTTAACCTGAGCCAGTTCCAGCTGAATTCGAATCACCTTGCTTTCTTCAACCTGCCAGGAATGTAAACATCAGTCTTTCTGGCCAAGTAGGCATATGGTCCCTAGCCAAGAGTTCAGCCCCAAAGGAGACAGCCACAAGTTTACCTCCAAGGAAGACTCAGCTTCCTCCAGGGCCACCTGGAGTTCTTCCTTCTCAATCTCCAATTTTTTCTTCAACTTCTGCAGCTCGTGTACACTCCGTCCTCCCTCACCCAGTTGATCAATCAGTTCTTTTATCTCCTCTGAGAAAAAAATATTCTCGATAATAAGGCACATGAGGACTACTAGTTTCTCAGGGTTGTGGGATGCGGCACAGACATTCCTTCATCAGGGCCAGAAGCAGGCACTCCTAGCCTCACCGTATCAAAAGAGAAGCGTTATACTCTAAGTTGTAGATTCTTGGAGCATCAGGGCTTGGATATTGGAGAACAGTGAGTCCAAGCTCTTCTTTTTGTAGATAAGAGGCAGAGTCCCAGAGAAGAGTAAGCAAGCACAGAGTAGCTTTAGGGCCAGTGCCCAGGACTCCCAGGGCCCATCAGTTCTACATGCGAGGACTCTCTTTCTCAGAGACATGCTGCCCCCTCAACCCTGCCTCCCAGGTCTCAAATTCCAGCCCCAGACTCCAATATGTAAGAAATACATGCATATGTGTATTATTTACATACGACAGGTGTAAGGGCTCAAGAAAAATCTATTGAGCCCTTATTTGTGCCAGCTACTCTACTAAGTGAAGATACATTTTATCTTATTTCATTGACACAACAACCTTACAAGGAAAGCATTATTATTTCCCTATCTTACAGATGAGGGAACAGGCATGGAAAGTAACTCACCTGTCTGAAGTTTTATTGCTGAATGCTTGAGTGCTTCTACAAAGCGCTTGTCAGCCAGTCAACGAACACTGTCAGCCAGTCAACAAACACTGTGTACCCAGTGCTCAAACCCATGATGTACCCAGAAGGGGGCCTAGCTGTGTCTTTGTACCCGCAGGCCCACTGCCTGCCTTCAGACTCACCCTGCAGGGTCTTGTTCTCTTTCTTCACTGACTCAAGGTGTTCCAGGGACTCCTCGTAGGCGGTCTTAATCTTGAAGCTCTCTGTCATGTACATGCGGCACTCCTTTTGCGAACTGTCCACTTCCACCTGCAGCTCCTCACACTTCTGTTGCCACTCAGCCAGCATCTTGTCAAAGAGCCGCTGCTTCTTATCCAGGGCAGCAGCTGCAGCATTGGCCTAGGGAGAGGTGGGGATGGTCTCCAGGGGGTCTGACTTTCTTGCCCCTCTCCCCTCCTTCTGCCTCCCTCCCTTTCTTCTCCAATGCAGTGACGCTGGTGACCACAGACTTCTTGGCAATTGGGATATAATTCAACATTTATATCACAAGAACAGAATAGGGATTCAGGAAAGAGCTACATTCTAATTCTAAAACTTCTGCTACTAGATGTGTGACCTTGGGCAGTCCGCCTTATCTTACTAGTCTGGAATTTTCTCAGGTATTAAATGAGGAATCTGGGCCGCGATGTCCTTCCCAGACTTATGACTTTCACCTACCACCCCATTTTCTTACTGTACTAATATACATTATATATCATTGTCCAACCCAGAGATAGGTTTGGTACTATTTTTCTTTTGAATCAACGCTGATTATTCTTAGACATTATTTTTTCATAGACCCTTTATCTTTTTCATAACATCCCGGCAACTGTATATTTGCTGCTGTGCAATATTAGATTTTGTAAATTTCTACTTAATTCCTTAATTTGGGAGAAGAAAAATCTTTTAGGGTTTTAGGACTATTTTTCTGAAATCTCTCACATGGACATGACCTTTTTCCTCTGTGTCCCTCACAGCTGGCATGAAGCAATGGTCCTATCTAGACCAAGACAAAGTTGTTCTGTGCCAGTGGAAATCTCATTTAATTCGACTAGAAATTGGTAAATCAGTCTGAACCAGAGATTCAAACAGGAATATTTAGCTACACAAAGTGTATAGGACATGGTTTGTGTGAGAGAAAAGGGAATAGGGATAATATGTGACATGACTTCCTGGGACAAAGTTTTATCATTGTCACGGACCTGTTTAAATAGTGGTTTGTTGAGTGTTAAGATCTCAGAATTATGAGTATATATAAATACATATTCAAGCAGGAGCCTGTGTCCAGTGGTTCTGTATACAAACTCTGTGCTCCATCCTCAGGGGCCACTGTCTCTTGGACCTGGCATTTGATCCTCTGACCTTCTCTAAGTCGATGGTGAGGTCCTCGACTTCTGCTTGGAGTCTCTGTTTATTTTTCTCGAGGGAGGCAGCCCTGGCCTGGGCAGCTTCGGCTGCCTCTTCTGCTTCCTGGAGCCTGGCAGCCAGTTTCCTCCTGTGGATAAGGGTAAGAGGGGCCATCAAGGAATCATAGGAGCACACAGGCAGTGGCGCCCGGGGTGTGGCACTGAGCTCTGATGTCACGATGTAAATGATACAGACAAAATGGAGAGTGTTTGGAAGAAGCAACCAGTGTTCATTCATTTATTCAGCAAATATTTATTGTTTCTATTCTGTGCCAAGTATTGTTCTAGGCATTAGGGAAATAGCAGTGAATAAAACAGACTAGGATCTCTGCTTTTATGAAAGTTCTGTTCTGGCAATTTTGTTCAGACGATACACAACAAAATGACATACACATGCTGAAGAAAATAAAGCAGGGAGGGGAACACATGAGCAAAGGCCAGAGGGAGGGTAGGGCAAGGGCTGGTGGTGTCTGGGGAAGAGGTTCCATGAAGAGAGATGTGAGGAATTGAGATTTAGGTTTAACCTTGAAGTGAGAGCAGGCAGCTTCCAGCAGCAATTGTAGAAAATGGAAAAGGGCTGAAGGGCAGGAGGTGGAAGCTACAGAAAGGCAGACTTAGGCTCAATGGATAAAGAGCTTTAGATAAAAGATCTGTGTCAGCTGAAAGGCACTGTGCTTTTTGCTATCCTGTCACCCACAAGTTCCAGTGGGTGGAAGGCACAGAGAGCAGGCTACGGTTCGCTCCATGCCTGGCAGAGTGGCTCACATGCAGGGCTTCCCTGGGTATGTGGGCCCAGGAGTACCCAGACAGCCTCTTTTATGCTAGAGGGCAGCTCAGAGCCACATTCACTTGTCTACTTTTATTTCCTCAGGCCAGACAAGCCGAGTATCTACTTCTCTAGTTGGTGAATGAGGAAGAAAGCTCAAAGGATATGAAGACATTTACTACAGATCTGGAAAAAGGCAGAGTGGAGACCTTGGCTACCAAGTGTAGTCTGTGTCCAACCAACATCACTGAGAGGCGTTACCCCAGACCCAGCAGGCCTTTGGAAGCTTCCTGAGCACTTCAGAGGCAGAGAAGCCCTGCCAGGAGGAGCCGCTGCCTCTGACTCCCCTGCCTGAGCACTTTAAGGCAGAGGATATAGGTAAGAGAGCCCTCGAAGGTGGAACCTGAAGGCTGACCATGCAGGCAGTGGGCTCCTCTGACTGCACACTCATCTTCCCTTTAAGAGAAGCCGATGAACTGCCTTTTTCTGGATGTGGCCCTGGCCTCAGCTGTGGCTGGCAGTGGTGAGACCCCCAGCGCCTACCCACCTGCTTGGCCTTTTTCTCTCTCCTGGCACAAGGTGAACTCACTTGGTCTCTTCTAGCTCCTCAGTCCTCTGGATGGCATCGGTCTCATACTTGGTCCTCCAGGTGGTCACCTCGGTGTTTAGTTTGGACACAAGGCGCTGCAGCTCCGACTTGCCTCCCTGTTCCTCCTCCAGCTGCTCCTTCACCAGGTCCAGGTCATGCTTGGTGTTGGCGAGACTCACCACGGCTGTGCTGCGAGACTGGGGACCACATGAACCTGTCAGAGGCCCACCAGTCTCTCCATGGCCCCCCAGGGCCAGCAGTTAGATGTATATCATGTTGGATCAACAGTGTAGCAAGGGGAAAAACACACATGATTCTATAACCCTAACCATCACGGTTTATTTTCCTTGTTTTCTTCCAATTACTACCTACAAAGATATGTAATTTTACTTAGTCATACACATAGAATACTACAGTTTTGTAGTTAACTTTTAGTAGTGCATCAAATATTTTTTAAAGGTTTTAAAAATAAACTTATTTATTTAAATTAGTTTCAAGTATACAGCACATTGGTTAGACATCTATAATGTTCATAAAATGATTATCCCAATTGCTCCCTCCCTCCCCTGGCCCTCCACTTAACCATCACATTAATGCTAACTGCATTCCCTCTGCCATGTTTCCCATGCCCAACTATCAACTACTAATTTGTACTTCTTTAATCCTTCACCCCATTCTCCCAGCCTCCCAAGCCCCCTCCCCTCTGTCTGTCACCAAATTGTCCACTATATTTGTGAGTCCGTTTTTGGTGAATCAAATATTTTTAATGTTCCTTCTACATCTTAACCTATAATTTTCTTTAAGGAGGCAGCTCTGTCACCCCCCACTTCATCCCCCAACAAACCTTGGACTCTTCATCCAGCTGCCTCTTGTAGTCATCCACCTGAGATGTGAGCGATGTCTTTATCCGCAGGATTTGATTGAGCCGGCTCTGGGATTCTTCATATTCCCGGCTCAGTTCACCATTTTCAGCTGAGTGAGAAAGGAATGGGAAAAATACTGGATGAAGAACTGACTCCCTAGGCAGATTCTAAGCTCCTCCAGGGCATCGCTTCTGAATACCTGGTAAATATGGCAGCATGGCTGACTGTACTGGAATGGGGAGCACAGTGACCACCACACCAGCTGCTCAAATTAAGTTAGCCTAGAAGGGGAGCAAGTGCCCAAGGTGACACCCAGGTGACTTACATGGGTAAGGGGCTTCATTCGGATAATGAAGGCCTGCCCCTGGCAGGAGATACAGCAAAGAAGTTTAGAGAAAACAGTGGAGCAGAGTGTTTACTTTGTAAACTGCATTTGTCACTGTCCCAGAGCCTACACTCCTGTCATCTGTGGACTGATTACCCCGGTTAGAGGCCAGGGAGAGGTGTATGAGCCAGAAAGGAAGATCGCTGTTTCTAGTTCTGCTCTGTAAGTCATTAATAAGTCATCTGTAAGTCACTTCATCTCACTGAGCTTCACTTTTCTCATCAGTCAAATGGTGTCAAATGGGGATATTGATTTTAAAAAGTATTCAGGATGTGAGAAATAGGGCCAAACGATGCCCGCAGGTTCTATGGTGTCTGTCACACTGGAGCTTCATCTAACTGGCCCACCTAAGGAGTGTTAACTTCTCTCAGGGAATGCATTTTTGTTTGGCTTACTGTTTACCTGGGTTAGAACTCAGCCTCTCTAAAGTTAGGTGTTAACTTGTTTAGTGATAAGTGGAAAATTATTTTTGTCCTAGAAATGTAAAGGGGTTCTTCTGACAGAAAAACGAAAATAAAACCAAATGCAGAGGTTGCAGTATTATTGTCCCATAGAACATTAACCAATTTTGCATTTAATTTAGCAAAGTTACCTAAGCTTTCCTTTCCCCATTGACTATGTAAATCTCTGTCCCTTGTGCTCTTCAAAGGCAGCGTTACCGTTTTTTCTGGTTTCCTTATTAGTGACACATGTTCGCTTTATGTCAGCATGCGGGTCATGTTTTATTTTTTTATTATTATTATTTTCTTTAGAGTCAAAAGGAAAGTTTATTAGGAAAGGGGTAATACTCCACAGAGTGTGGTCTCCTCTCAGAGGCAGAGAGTGAGAGGGACAGTGAGAGAGATAGTGAGAGACAGAGTAAAGGCACTGAGAGGAAATGTTTTAAAATGTTTGAAAAGTGTCAGTATGACTGCTTCTCCTGCTGATCTCACAGAGTAGTTAAGAGAACCGATACAAAAATGCTTTGAATAGTGTTCCTTGTTTTACACTATAAAGATGTGGCTTGGAATACTCAGTGGGTGGGATAAAATTTCCTTGTCCCATCACAGAGGATGTGAATTTTCAAAGACCAAGAAAGCTCTGGGGAGAGATCCCAGGTACTCTTTCAGTTTCCTTGTGGATTCCTGTTTCATTTCACGCACTGTTCTTTAGGAAACTGCAGGGAGGAGTGAGCTCACCTTGGAGGCGGGTCCTGATGGCATTGATTTCTGCCTGGTTTCTCTCTAGCTCAGCCACCTTGGCATTGGCTTCCACTAAGCTGTCTTCCAGCTTTCGGACATGGGCCTCGGCATTTATCTGCTCAGGAAGAATGCACTCAGTAGTGAAATGGGGAGGCCCAGGTAAGCCCTCCCTGCTTCCCACCTGTGTTCTCCTAGTGCAGCCTCTCAGGCTACCCCACTAGCTTTTCTGTTGTCTCAGAAACCCCCAATGGCTCACTATTTTTTATCAGCATAAATCTAGAACCTTTGAATTGGTGCAGCCTCTCACTCCGGCCCATCTCCCTTTCATAGCCACTCTGGATCCCTGCAGACCTCATCTAATAAGAAAGTGCAGTGGGCCAATTTAAGGAAAAATACTGCAGATAAAACAGGAACTATGAAGATTCCTCATGAGTATCTGAAGTTTGGAGACACGAGTTGGCTGAGACAGGGATCCTCGAAGCTCCTTCCCTCACATCACAAAAAGGCCCTTCATGTAGCAGGTGCTCAGTTAATGCATGTTGAATGGCTTGCTTTTCTTTCTTGCAATATAACACCTTTTCATTGTGGCAATGTCTGCATTTATCTTGTCATTCGACTAGTCTCTAACTCCTTGAGAATATAATCATACTAATGTAATGGTAATCTTAATAGCACACATTTATTGAGCTTTTCTTATGTGCCAGAGACTTTTGTAGCTCTCATAACAGTGCTGTGAGGTAGGGATATTATCCCCCTTTTACAGATGAGGAAACTGAAGCACAGTTAGGTTATGTAACTTGGCCAAGGTCAGACATACACCCAGCCGGTAGGGCCTGGGTGGTGGGTTCACCTTAGTTCCCTTCACAACATCTAGAATATGCTTTGGGCCTGCTGGGGGCTCAGGGAGTATCTGTGTAGGAGCCAGTGCTGGGGCATTTTCCCCTGGCTCTGGGTGGCCTCCCTCACCTTGGACTTCTGCAGAGTTTCCACGCTGGCGTTAAGGTCGTCGATCTCAGCCTTCATGACTTGCTTGTCCTTCTCCAACTTGGACTTGACCCTCTGTAGGTTCTCCACATGCTCTGTCAGCTCTGCCATGGAGTCTGTGTGCTTCTTGCGCAGCGTGGAGGCTGTCGCCTCACTTTGCAGGGCTGCCTCCTCCAGCTCCCGCCGCAACTTCAGCAGCTCGGCCTCTCGCTTGCGATTCTGCTCAATCTAGGGTAGAGGATAAGCAGGGCATAGCAGAAGTGGCAGGTGCAGGCCTCCTTGGGCTAGACACTGTTTACCTGCTCAGTGGTCCCCTGATATTCCTGAACTCCATTAATACAATGTCCTTGTTGAAATATCAATTCTAAACCTCTGGGTGGGTTACCCATAGGATTTGTTTAGTTAGTGTTGTGTGTTGAATTATGTCCCCCAAAAAGATATATTCAGATCTTAACCCTGATACCTGTGAATGCAACCTTATTTGGGAATAGGGTCTTTGCAGATATAAACAAGTTAAAATGTCATATTGGATTAGGGTGGGCCTTAATCTGATGACTTCTTGTCTTTATAAGAGGCAAATTTGGACCCAGAGAGACACATAAGAAAAAGGCCATATGACCCCGTGGCTGAGGTTGGAGTGCTGTAGCTATAAGCAAGGACACCAAAGATTGCCAGCAAACCACCAGAAGCTGGGAGAGAGGCCTAGAACAGAGTCTCCCTCAGAGCCTCCAGAGGAATCCATGAGGCAGCCCTTTTTCCATTGCTCCTGCTCTCTTGGCCCCTGTAGTTCTGTCAACTCTCTCTGCACTGCTAGACATAGTCCCTTTGTTAATAACCCTCATTCAAACCATCTGGGATGATTTTGTTTCCTTCTGGAACCCCATCACAGCTGGGTACCTGCTTCAGTTCTGGGCATGTCCCCCCAAGCAGTGGACTGGACTGTGGCCAGGATGGTGAGGAGTGGGACCCCATGGAGTCCAGAGGGCCGCAGTAAAGGATGCTCAGCCTTCCAGTGTTCCTGCTCTCTACTCTGACCCAGGATCCACATTTGTAAGAGAGCTGGCTACATGGAATTAGAAGGAGAGTTTCATATAGCGTCTGTTGGTCTCCACGATGCTGTCATATGAGTGGGAGAAAGATGCATTCCACTCCAGGAGGCGCGGCTCAGATTCTAGCCCCAACTCACCTCTTAGTGAGGTGCTCTTGGAGTGTGAGGGTCACACCATTGTATTAACCTTGTCTTTATTCTCTGTATTCTGGTGCTTTGATATCTGGGTTTTTGCTGACCCTGAAAGAATGGCCCCTCCCAGGGTTAGCTAATTCCTAGAGAGTGAACAACTTGATTTTAGATGTAAATCACCCAATCTAGTAGCTGTTTTATTCTTAGCCACTATCCACCTGCCCTAATCACTTAGGGCCAGGTACCAGACAACTAGGAAGAGCCCTGTGCCCTAGGGCCCTCTGAAATTATCCAAACTAGCCAGTCCTAAGCCTGCTCCCTATGCCTTGCTTGTTCCTTCCTTGGAAACCACAATAAAACCTCTTGTCCACAATTCCTTCCCCCTCGGCCCCGCGACCAACCCTGGTGCTTCCTTGTGTGTCTCTGCTTGGCATGCCCTCTCCTGGGAATTGTAACAAGCTACAGCTGAACCTTCAACAACGCAGGTTTGAACTGTGCAGGTCAACTGAACTGTGGTCAACTGAAAAAAAATCACCTATAAGTGGACTCAAACAATTCAAACCCAAGTTGTTAGGGTCAACTGTATCTCTTCAATGGCAACCTTCTCCTGATCTTCTGGCATTACTCTACCTCAAATTTTCTATTAATACGCGATATTTTAGAACACTTGCCCTCTGCATTCATTCAAATCCTGCTTCCATCAGTGCCTCTGAACTAAAGAGCCCCAGAAGGCAGTGAACCAAACCTGCCTGTCTTGACTACTCTTTATTACTAACTGGTTTCTCCTCAAGCTAGCCTGAGAAATTCAGCCAAAATGAAATGGTCCATAGCCCACTGTTCATTGTCCAGCATTTTTTCTCCCTGCAGACAGGAAGGAATTGGGGTTCTTGGGTTTCCTTGAGGATGGTACCTGAGCAGATGTGGCTCCCCCGGCCTCTTCCAGCCTGTCGCTGAGGTCTTCAAGGTCCCGGGACAGGTCGCTACGTTGTTTCTCCACCTGGGGTGAGATCAAATGACACTGACTGAAGCCATCCACGAGCCCTTCTTTCTGCATGGTGTCTGTGAGGCCAGGGCCCTTCCCTTGGGGAGCTCTGTACTCTGCCTGCCGCCCCACATGCTCAGTGAAGGATGCTGTCTGTCTCCCTGCATTGGATAGGCCTTAGTGCCCATCCTACCCTCTAGCCCAGTTTGGCTGAATCTGGAGTTAAGGTGTCTTATGAGTCATCTCCCACCAATTTTCTAGCCTCATCCCCTGTATGATCCTTGCTCTCAACCCTTCCTCCATTCTTTGTTCTTCCTTTTACACGTTTTACACAGATACTATTTCATTCCCTCTGCCTAGAAATTCCTCCCTGCCTCTATTCAATCTTTCAGTCCCCAGGCTAATGTCACCTCCTCTACCTGCCCCAGGCAGAACTAACCTCCTCTCTTTGGGCTCTCACTGCAAGCAGCATCTTTGCCCCTTACATCATAATTAATGTACATATGTAGCACAGTGTCTGACACATAGTAGGTGCTCAAGAACAATGAGGAGGTGATGAAAAAGTATGCCTGTATAGTCATTCATTTTGTCTGTGACAATGTCCTGCCCTCCTCTCTGTTGGTTTCCTGAGTGGAGTTTTCGCTTATGGTTGGATTGTAGCTGGCATTTGTCTTTTGACCCAGAAAGGTAGAAGTGTATCATTTACCTTGGCTCTCATTGCCCTCTCAGCTTCCAGTTCCTCCTCCAGCTCCTCAATTCGGGCCTAGCAGACAA